TCTTACTATAAAGCATTAGTCAGGCATTGTCAACAGACAAAGTAAGTTTTCAGACAAATGATATTAGATAGTCGAGAAGCAATGATGCTTGGTTTAGGTCATCAGTTTAAAACGTTTTATTGGTTTTTATTAAATTATTATTATTATACAGTATTTATAAAGCGCCAATAGTTCGCTCAGCGCTGTACATTACAAAGGGGGACAGAACATCTGACAGAACAATACCAATACAATGCAAAACATGAGGGGATCGAGGGCCCTGCTCCTTGGAGCTTACACTCTAGGAGGGAGGGGATGGTGGCACAGGAGGAGATAGCTGTGGGGGATGGGTGGTAGGAAGAGTGGAGGAGGTCGGCAAGTTAGCAGGGGGTGGGGTAGGCTTCCCTGAAGAGATGGGTTTTCAGAGTGCGCCTAAAGGAGGGGAGAGTAGGTGATAATCTGATGGGTTGGGGCAGGGAGTTCCAGAGGATGGGTGACACCCTGGAGAAGTCCTGGAGGCGGGGCATGGGAGGAGGAGACCAGGGAACTAGAGAGAAGGAGGTCTTGTGAGGAGCGGAGTTTGCGTGTTGGGCGGTACTTGGATATTAGGTCAGTGATGTAGTTCGGGGCAGTATGGTGGACGGCTTTGTACGTCAGTGTTAGGATTTTGAATTTGATCCGTTGCGCAATCGGAAGCCAGTGGAGGGATTGGCAGAGGGGGGTGGCGGAGACGGAGCGGTTGGAAAGGTGAATGAGTCTGGCAGCCGTATTCAGGATCGAACTGAAGGGGGGATAGCCAGCGGCGAGGCAAAAATAAATCTTAAAAAGCAATTCCAGAAAAAGAACATGGTAGCTGCTGCTCTATGAAAACGATATGGACTCACCTACAGAAAACACTGTGACATTGTCACAAATCATCCCTATTATTCAGTTCCTTTTAACATAGGAGCACAACATGTCACAGGTTTGCATTCTTCCAGCAATGACTTCTTCTGCAACTTTCAGCTAGTGGCCGCAAAGGAGGTTGACTTTCTTTTGCCAGCTGCTGTGATTTCAGATGCTGTGATCTGCACCCTCCCAGGACAAAACAATCCTGATGTTTTATAACAATTGTCCTCTCTAATATAAAGAATCCAGCGTTGTCCTCTTCTGTGCGGCAATTCTTGTAGCACATGTCCCGTTCTGCTCTAACACCTTTTTTTTCAGGGAGCTGCAAAGGTCCCGAAGAGACATCACCGTTCCGTCTCTCTACCTTGTCCAATCAGAGAACACTTTGCATTCAGTCATAAAACGCAAAGCATTTTCTGAATGGTACTGGTGAAGAGTAGCTGACCTCCTATTTTCACAAAGCATCAGGAGGACCGCTCAAGCGTTTTTTCTGACAAAACGCTGCTGCTCCTGGACGCGCTGGCCCTGTTTTTTTTTTTTTCGACTGCCTGTAAACGCTCCTGCCACTTAAAGCTCCGAAAAATCTATGTGTGCATGGACATGGAAAAAAACGCCAGACGCCCCTAAAAAGGGCTGCAAAAATGCATGTGCATGAGGCCTTACCCCCGTTTCACATCTATGCGGGTGGTACCGCTGCGGATCCACACGAAAATCCGTGCAGCCGCACCACCCGCACAGAGAATTGTGGACCCGCGGACGGGTGCCGTTACTTCTAATGGCACGCCGCCTGCACTGGGAAACACAAACCGTACTGAGAAACTGAGGTTCCCGTGCAGGCTGCGTTTTCCAAAGTAGTGCAGGGACTTCTTTCCCTGCGTGTCACGGGCACGGGAGTCCATTCATATAAATGGGATCTCGTGCCCGTGCAAAACGCGTCCTGCACGGCCGCATATATTTGGACCTAGGGTTATTTTTTAAAAGGCCAACTTTGTTTTCTTTTAATGCTTCCATCTATATTTTTTTCTTCTTTTGTTTGTACAATGATGCTGAGGTAAGACCAAAAGAATAACTTTATTGAACAGAAATACAGGTTTGTATACATTCAGTTATAGGGGCAGTCACCACATGAACAATAAAAAAACAAATATTGCACATCAGGGTAAACATCCCACAATGGTTAAGCGGAATTCCAGCCGTTTTTGTGTTTATTAAAAGTAAGCAGCTACAAAAACTGTATCTGCTGACTTCTACTAAACACACACTTACCTGACGCAGAGTCCAGCGATGTTCTCACCCGCGCCATCCCTTCTCCCCTTCACTCCTCCACGGTGCCGGCATCTCCACTGTGGGCACCAGGCTGTGAAAGCTTGCAGCTTCACAGCCTGGTGCCCACTGCACATGTGCGAGTTGCGCTGCTCCTCCTGATTGGTCTGGCAGTCTTCTAGGACCTGTGAAAGATCTCAGAAGGCTGCGGGAGGGAGGAGGGGGCAGAACTTCCGGCTCACTTCACTGCGGTGAAGTGAGCTGGAAGTGGGAGCTGGTACCTGTCAAAAACAGGTATCCGCTCCCCTCTCCCCCCTCAAAGGTGCCAAATATGGCAATGGAGGGGGGAGGAGGCAATAGGCAGAGGTTCCACTTTTGAGTGGAACTCTGCTTTAGGTAACGAGGTAAACAAAACTAATCCCATCCTGTGGGAATCTCCAGGAGGATTAGTGAACAGACAGAAACAATAGGTTACCCAATTAACAATGAGAATTCACACCTAGAAGGCATGCAATGGGGAATTTACACAATGCGAGAAAGACCCTCCACACCTGGACAGGAAAGGGAAACACAGGTACAACTTAACCTCTTTGCGCCGGCTGCACGCAAATGTGCGGCCTCCCGGGCCTTGACGCCAAGCAGCCGCACATTTGCGTGCAATTAAGAAAAACATGTGCTGAGAGCGTGCACCTTGCACGCTCCCAGCACACATGTCCGGTACTCACGGAATGGTCCCGATCTCCTCTTTCCCGATCATGTGACCGCCGTGACGGCGAATCACGGCAGTCACATGACCTTAAAACCCCGCCCCACCTCCCGGCTTCTGAAAGGGCCGGGAGGAGCCAGTGCCAAGGGGTTAATAAACAAATTACAGCAGGAGACCCCAGCATAAGGTTGTTTTGAGACAATTCTAATCTTCTGCTTTGAGTCTCTGAGTCTAGGAAGGGGTTAAAGATGTCAATGCTGGTTTTGGCTGTTGATTTCATACCCCAACAAAAACACAGAGGCCCCAAATCTGTATCCTGGTCCTCCAGTTCTCAAGAGTCTGTGTGTTTTCAGGGAGACATGGACTTGAATCCACAGTAAAACTACTCCAAAGATCCCCCCAGGCACACACCTCCCAAAGAATAGAGTCCCCTCAAACACCAGGGCCCATAGCCAGTAGGCAAGGGGCTAGCTTGCAGTCCCTGTTTCAGTGGAGTCTGTCACAGGGAGAATCTGCAGTGAGCTCAGAGATACGGAAACCCTGGAACATGGATTAGATTAACATGGTTGTAAACCCTTACATGTACCCAGGGAAGAGTCTGGCCTCAGGTGTAAACCAAAGATGAATCAAATTATCCTACATAAGTTGCACCTGTTTATCTGCGGTCTTCTCTTCCCTACATCCTTTCAAAGTGCTGGAATTTATAAAGCTTGCCCGAGCTGTCAGAAAAAAGGGGGTAGAGAGATGCAATTACACATTGCAGAACTCAGTGAGGAGAGCTCTGAGAGCTGATTGGAGGGAAGAGACACGCCCCCACCTTCACACAGCACACAGGAACAGTTGAGGATGTCAATCACAGGCTGTGTGCTGGCTGTCCCTCCCGTCACCTTTTTTCTCTTGGTGTCAGGAAACCTTGTCAGAAGTGACTCATGCCGATAGCAGAGGAAAGAGGCAGCAGACACAAATGACACTTTGTGCTCTTAATTGAGACAAGTACACACTATAGGGGGATATGCTTTGTTCAAATTTCATGTCTGAGGTTTCGCACCGTTAATGTGTTAATTGGTCGGCCGTTTTTTTCGGGGTTTTGGCACATTTTTTTTATCAGTAATGTTGGAAAAAATCGTTCGATTTTACCGGCAATGATGGGCAAATCGGACGATCATTTTACCGATAAAAAATCTGCGCATGAGCCGTGACCTGCAAGAAGAAGAAAAAGTAGAAAAAGATGAAGAAAAAAGTAGAAGAAGAAGAAGAAGAAAAATAATTCCAGTCCGCTATTATATTTGACATGAAAAAGTCTTGCGGTTGCAACAATGTATCTATTTGTATCCGAATAAAAACATCTGCATCCGAAATGGATACAAATAGATACAATGTTGCAACCGCAAGACTTTTTCATGTCAAATATAATAGCGGAGCTCTCTGCAGGGACAGAAGTAATTAAATGCTGGCCATAGACGGGAAGAAAAAATCGGCTGATTTTTTTTACCGTTGGTGGTAACGTCGACCTATTGAACGGCCGAATTTTCATTTTTCTTTTTTCTAAAAACGGACGGTTTTCGACCCGTCTATGGCCTGCATAACACTCAACTCCTGGAAAAGTCCTTCTCTTCCCTAAATGCGTACAGCTGACGTTCCCACTAATCTTTGTTTATATACCTCCCAGCTGACAAGTTAAAATCCTTTATTTTAATATTTTTTTCCGCGAATTAAACCGTGTGCAGTAGCTGCTAGGAAATAAATGACATTCTAAATAGAGAAAAAAAACCCTCACCCTGCTCCTGGAGGAATGCTGAACATGTCTTTGATGTTCCAAACATTGAGATTCATTTTAAAATCTGTAGTTAAAAAAAAAATGACACAAAGCAAAACTGTAAATAAATACTTATACATGAAATCTGTTCATTAGTTATATGGAAATGAGAAGTGTAGGATATTCTGCTACCAGATAGATGAGGGAATAATTATACTTCTATGAGGCAAATGAAATCATGTCATATCCTTGTATTCTGGTGGAAGGTAAAGCTGGATGTAGATCTGGACATCTGCAATCAGATGATCCGTAAGATGGACATTTATTATTTACCACTTCCAGTCCGGACACTTTCACCCCCTTCCTGTCCGGACACTTTCACCCCCTTCCAGTCCGGACACTTTCCCCCCCTTCCAGTCCGGACACTTTCACCCCCTTCCAGTCCGGACACTTTCACCCCCTTCCAGTCCGGACACTTTCACCCCCTTCCAGTCCGGACACTTTCACCCCTTCCAGTCCGGACACATTTCACCCCCCTTCCAGCCCGGACGCTTTCACCCCCTTCCAGTCCGGACGCTTTCACCCCCTTCCAGTCCGGGACGCTTTCACCCCCTTCCAGTCCGGACGCTTTCACCCCCTTTCCAGTCCGGTCCGGACACTTTCAACCCCCTTCCAGTCCGGACACTTTCACCCCCTTCCAGTCCGGACGCTTTCCCCCCTTCCAGTCCCACTTTCCCCCCTTCCAGTCCGGACACTTTCACCCCCCTTCCAGTCCGGATACTTTCCCCCCCTTTCCCCCCTTCCAGTCCGGATACTTTCCCCCCTTCCAGTCCGGACACTTTCACCCCCTTCCAGTCCGGACACTTTCACCCCCTTCCAGTCTGGACACTTTCCCCCCCTTCCAGTCCAGTCCGGACGCTTTCACCCCCTTCCAGTCCGGACACTTTCCCCCTTCCAGTCCGGACACTTTCCCCCCCTTCCAGTCCGGACACTTTCCCCCCCCCCTTCCAGTCCGGATACTTTCCCCCCTTCCAGTCCGGACACTTTCCCCCCCTTCCAGTCCGGACACTTTCATCCCTTTCCAGTCCGGACACTTTCACCCCCTTCCAGTCCGGACACTTTCCCCCCTTCCAGTCCGGACACTTTTTCAGTCCCCTTTCTTCCAGTCCGTCCGACACTTTCACCCCCTTCCAGTCCGGACACTTTCCCCCCCTTCCAGTCCGGACACTTTCACCCCCTTCCAGTCCGGACACTTTCCCCCCCCGGATACTTTCCCCCCTTCCAGTCCGGACACTTTCACCCCCCTTCCAGTCCGGACACTTTCACCCCCTTCCAGTTCCGGACACTTTCACCCCTTCCAGTCCGGACACTTTCACCCCCTTCCAGTCCGGACACTTTCCCCCCCTTCCAGTCCGGACACTTTCCCCCCCTTCCAGTCCGGTCGGACACTTTCCCCCACTTCCAGTCCGGACACTTTCACCCCCTTCCAGTCCGGACACTTTCCCCGCTTCCAGTCCGGACACTTTCCCCCCCTTCCAGTCCGGACACTTTCCCCCTTCCAGTCCGGACACTTCCCCCCCTTCCAGTCCGGACACTTCCCCCCCTTCCAGTCCGGACACTTTCACCCCCTTTCCAGTCCAGGCCAATTTTCAGCTTTCAGGGTTATCACACTTTGAATGACAATTGCGCGGTCATGCAAATACTGTACCATAACACTGATTTTTTTTTTTAGCATAAAACTTTATTTTGGTGGTATTTATTCACCGCTGGGATTTTTTATTTTTTTTGCCATATAAATGAAAAAGTCCCAAAATTTTGAATTTTTTTTTTTAAAAAGTGTTTTTCTTATAAAATTTTGCAAATAAATAATCTTTCTTCATAAATCTTCACCAAAATTAATTCAGTTATCTTTTTAGTAAAAAAAAAAAAAAACCATGTTAGTTTATAACCAAAAATTATAATTTTTCAAAAACTTTTTTTTTTACATTTTTTATCTTGTTTTTTCATATTATTATTTGTTTTTTTTTTTGTTTTTTTTTACATACTGTCACCCCAGCAGTACAGTGTCACCATAGTGACACTGTACTACTTGTGGGGGGGTGATGAAGATGGATTTTTTTTTTTTTTTTTTTTTTTACACTGATTGCTTTTACGCCCATAAAGGCTGTAAAAGCAATCATTTCTCCTTCTCTCTGGCTGCATTCCTGCAGCCATTGAGAAATACTGTGTGAGCTGTGATTGGTCACAGCTTGTCACATGGTACAAGGCTGTTGTGAAAAGCCCTGTACCATGTGACCTCTGTGATCATTCACAGATTTCACAAGTAGTAAGCAATGATGTCAGAAGTGACATCTTGCTTACTACTCTTCATGTGATCACTGATTGGCCAATCAGTGATCACATGATCAGGACCTCACACAGAGGTCCCGTACGACGATCGGTGTTCTGCTGTGTCCTCCAGAGAACACAATGGTCACCGGATCGCAGTGTTGCGCGTTCCCAGGGAGCACGCACAAGCAGGGAGCGGGGAGGATGTTTATGAACGGCCACCCGCTCCTGCACTGCCACCATCCGGCCGTTTATATACATGGGCCGGACAGGAAGTGGTTAAAGTGTTAGGTTTGCTTCTAGTCTGCTCAGCCCTGGGGTTGATGGTTTTGCTGGGCCCTTCAGAAGGTACCACATGTACGGTATAATTTTCACATAGACCGCACTTAGATCGTGCAAACAAATGCGGTCTATATGAAGATTATACAAGATTTTGTGTATACGGAGTTCACAATTAGGACTGCTGCTTTATAGATATTTGTTTGGTTTTGTTGTTTTTTTTTTAATGCTAAGCCTTTGTGTGTGTACATATGTGTGGGTTTGTACATGTGTGTGTATATGTATGCACATGTGGGTGCCCCTCACTTTGTGTGAACCCCGGGCTCAGGGACACGCCCCTCTTTGTGTGAACCCCGGGGTCAGGGACACGCCCTTCACTTTGTGTGAACCCAGGGGTCAGAGACACCCCCCTCACTTTGTGTGAACCCCTGGGTTGGGGACACGCCCCTCGCTTTGTGTGAGCCCCGGGTCGGGGACACACCCCTTCACTTTGTGTGAACCCCTGGGTCAGGGACATGCCCCTCACTTTGTGTGAACCCAGGGGTCAGGGACATGCCCCTCACTTTGTGTGAACCCCGGGGTCAGGGACACACCCTTCACTTTGTGTGAACCCCGGGGTCAGGGACACGCCCTTCGCTTTGTGTGAACCCCTGGGTCAGGGACACACCCTTCACTTTGTGTGAACCCAGGGGTCAGGGACACGCCCCTCACTTTGTGTGAACCCCAGGGTCAGGGACACGCCCCTCGCTTTGTGTGAACCCCGGGGGTCAGGGACACGCCCCTCGCTTTGTGTGAACCCCTGGGTCAGAGACACCCCCCTCACTTTGTGTGAACCCAGGGGTCAGAGACACGCCCCTCACTTTGTGTGAATCCCTGGGTCAGGGACACGCCCCTCGCTTTGTGTGAACCCCGGGGGTCAGGGACACGCCCCCTCGCTTTGTGTGAACCCCGGGGTCAGGGACACGCCCCTCGCTTTGTGTGAACCCCTGGGTCAGGGACACGCCCCTCGCTTTGTGTGAGCCCCGGGTCGGGGACACGCCCCTCGCTTTGTGTGAACCCCGGGGGTCAGGGACACGCCCCTCGCTTTGTGTGAGCCCCGGGGGGTCGGGGACACACCCCTCGCTTTGTGTGAACCCCATGGGGTCAGGGACACGCCCCTCGCTTTTTGTGTGAACCCCTGGGTCAGGGACACACCCCTCGCTTTGTGTGAACCCCGGGGGTCAGGGACACGCCCCTCGCTTTGTGTGAACCCCAGAGCCAGGGACACGCCCCTCGCTTTGTGTGAACCCCTGGGTCAGGGACACGCCCCTCGCTTTGTGTGAACCCCTGGGTCAGGGACACGCCCCTCGCTTTGTGTGAACCCCATGGGGTCAGGGACACGCCCCTCGCTTTGTGTGAATCCCATGGGGGTCAGGGACACACCCCCCTCATTTGTGTGAACCCCTGGGTCAGGGACACACCCCTAGCTTTGTGTGAAACCCCCGGGGGTCAGGGACACGCCCCTCGCTTTGTGTGAACCCCAGGGGTCAGGGACACGCCCCTCGCTTTGTGTGAACCCCTGGGTCAGGGACGCGCCCCTCGCTTTTTGTGAACCCCAGGGTCAGGGACACACCCCCCGTTTTGTGTAAGGCCCAGAGGTCAAAGGACACGCCCCTCACTTTGTGTGATCCCCGGGGTCAGAGACACGTCCCCTCACTTTGTGTGATCCCCGGGGGTCAGAGACACGCCCCTCACTTTGTCTGAGCCTCATTAATAAGCTCTGTTCCAGTATGGAGGTTTTTGCTTTAAACCAAATGTGACCTATACAATTCCACAGAATGGTTTCTGACGGGTGGTGACCTACGTCAAGCAGATACATACAGAAAACAAAACTTCCCATCACAGCTCTCCCTACACAACCTCTCTTCACAGCGCCACTGAGGAGACAAGATGGCGGATCCCTCCCAACATTTTACCTCACAACCCGAGGCAGGGCTTCTTCTTCCCGCCTATTCCCTCTATAGAGGGGCAGGGCAGAGGGGCAGGGCAGGGCGGGGCAGGGCGGGGTGTGTGAGGAGAGCTGGAGTCGCTTATTTCCTCCCTAGATTAACATGTCAGGGGGCGGGGACTGTGTGAGGCGTCATCTTCTTCCCGCCTATTCCCTCTGCAGAGGAGCACCTCGTGGGGCGGAGCCTGCTTTGAGAGGCGCCGCTTATTGCCTCCGTAGAGGAGCGGGGGGCGGAGCCTGCTTTGAGAGGCGCCGCTTATTTCCTCCATAGAGGAGCACTTCGGGGGGCGGAGCCTGCTGTGAGAGGCGCCGCTTATTTCCTCCATAGAGGAGCACTTCGGGGGGCGGAGCCTGCTGTGGGAGGTGCCGCTTATTTCCTCCATAGAGGAGCACTTCGGGGGGCGGAGCCTGCTGTGGAGAGGCGCCGCTTATTTCCTCCATAGAGGAGCACGACGGGGGGCGGAGCCTGTATTGCAGTGCTGTGAGAGAGTCTCGGGGTGTGAGGAGTGGGGGGTGGGAGAGTATGGTGGTAAAGAGGCCTGAGGAGGGCGCTATACAGAGGTGTTAACAACATTGGGTGTAAGGTTGGCAAGTGTAGCAGTGTGAGGGAGGAGCCATGACAGAAGGGGGTACAGGGACACCATAGGTGGGGGTAAAGCAGGTGACTCTTTGGGTGAAGGGCTCATTCACACCATAGAACATGCAAATAATATGTGCACGGTGGAATGTGTTTGCGCGTGTACATTGTATTAGCATGTGCATACACACGCAATTGCACCAGGGGGTCAGGGACACGCCTCCTGCTTTGCATGAGCCCAAGGAGCAGGAACACGCCCCTCGATTTGTGCGAGTCCAGGAGGTCAGGAACGCGCTCCTCGATTTGTGCGAGTCGAGGAGGTCAGGGAACACGCCCCTCGATTTGTGCGAGTCCAGGAGGTCAGGAACGCGCTCCTCGATTTGTGCGAGTCCAGGAGGTCAGGGACACGCCCCTCAATTTGTGCGAGTCCAGGAGGTCAGGACACGCGCTCCTCGATTTGTGCGAGTCCAGGAGGTCGGGAACACGCCCCTCGATTTGTGCGAGTCCAGGAGGTCAGGGACACGCCCCTCAATTTGTGCGAGTCCAGGAGGTCGGGGACACGCCCCTCAATTTGTGCGAGTCCAGGAGGTCGGGGACACGCCCCTCGATTTGTGTGAGTCCAGGAGGTCAGGGGACACGCCCTTCAATTTGTGCGAGTCCAGGAGGTCGGGGACACGCCCCTCAATTTGTGCGAGTCCAGGAGGTCGGGGACACGCCCCTCGAATTTGTGTGAGTCCAGGAGGTCAGGGACACGCCCCTCAATTTGTTTGATGTCCAGAGGTCAGGGACACGCCCCTTGATTTGTGTGAGTCCAGGAGGTCAGGGACACGCCCCTTGATTTGTGCGCCCAGGAGGTCCAGGAGGGACACGCCCTTTGATTTGTGCGAGTCCAGGAGGTCAGGGACACGCCCTTTGATTTGTGCGAGTCCAGGAGGTCAGGGACACGCCCTTTGATTTGTGTGACCCAGGAGGTCAGGGACACGCCCTTTATTTATGCAAGTCCAGGAGGTCAGGACACGCCCCTGATTTGAGTGAGTCCAGGGACACGCCCCTTGATTTGTGTGAGTCACGCCCCTTGATTTGTGAGCTCCAGGAGGTCAGGGACACGCCCTTGATTTATGTGAGTCCAGGAGGTCACGACCCCCCTTGATTTGTTAGCCCAGGAGGTCAGGGACACGCCCCTTGATTTGTGCAAGTTCAGGGACACGCCCCTCGATTTGTGTGAGCTCGGATATGGGATAGACGACGCCGATATCCAAAAAGTCCTAGGGAATGCCTGATGATGAAGTCACCTAGGCGACCGTGACCAGAAGTAGAGACAGAAATGATCAATCAAAGGTATTTAGGGGGGAAAAAAAAAAAACAAAAAACATATATATATTGCT